AGCATCATGTCAGGTGAAAGAAGGCTGTGGTGAGTCTTTGGTAGAAAACCATGTACTAGAACCACTGCTGCAGACCAAGGTGAGGGCAGCATGACTGAGAAGGGCATGGGCAAGTCAGAACACTGCACCAGGAGGTGGCAGTGACGTAAGCCAATGCACAGTCATCCAGATTCACAGTCACACACTCAAGAGCTGGTGACTATTACTGCACATGAATTGCATCTCAATACAAATGGGCCCAAAAAGGCGAGTATTACTCATGACACAGCAATTTTCTTCTTAGATACATACCCCGAAATGCATGCCCAAGTGCGTCGGGGCACATAGTGAGGATCACAACTTACTCATAATATCGCGGACTAGACATGCCGTTTCACTAATGGGCTTACAGCCAGTGAGCTACAGCTGCATACACTGACACAGGGAGACATCACAGACATGAAGCCGGCAAGGGTGTCAGGTGGGGTGTCACGCCATGCCAGTGTTTGTAAACATTCAAAAGATAGGCAAACCTGGACACACGGTTAACCATGGGTGCCTTGCTGACAGACACAAATAAGTACAAGGTGCTTACATGACTCATACCTGAATTTCACTACTAAGCGTAGCCTGAGAGCTGGCAGGAAGGAGCTGTGCATTCAGGCCCCACAGGCTTCTGCTCCCTGAGTGCAGGTGACAGGTGCTCATTCATAACTCATTGTGTTGACTTCTCGCTGCAGATTTGTTATATTCCACAGGACCAAGGCTTCTAGAATCTCGACTTGGAGCATAGCTGTCTCTGAGCACCGGCCGCTATGGTAGCACAAGAGCCCTTGGACAGCCTGCCAGCTGTGGGAGTTTCCCAGAGATGCCTACTGCCCTGCTGTGAGTGGCAGCTCGACAGCAGCCATTCCTGGTGGGCATGGTAGTGAATGAGTTCAGCTATTGCACTAGTGCCGTGTTTGACTGCTCATCTCCAGAACTCATGTGCTGGATACCTAATCCCACCCCCTGCAGTTTGCCGTGTGCCAACAGCGTCTAGGAGGTGATGGAGTTGCATGGGCTCTGTTGTACTGACCATCCCTGGCTAGTGGGTTGCCCTGAGAGTGGCTCTGTTATAAAACAGAGCCCTCTAGCCTACTTGCTCTGTGTCCTTGTAATGCCCTCTACATGCCACAACCCAGGAGGAAGAACCTCACAACTGGCCCCTGTGCTTGCCCTTCCTAGCTCCAGAACTTTGAGCTATGTGAACTTCTATTCTGCAGCATTCAATTATAGCAAAAGAAAATCTTCTGAGACAGCCAGTTTAAAAAAAAAAAAGGATGCAGCCAGACATGATGGAGCAGGCCTGTAATCCCACCGGCTTGGGGGGCCGAGGCAGGAGGATTGTGAGTTCAAAGCCAGCCTTAGCAACAGTGAGGTGCTAAGCAACTCAGTGAGACCCTGTCTCTAAATAAAATACAAATTAGAGCTGGGATATGGCTCAGTAGTTGAGTGCCCATGAGATCAATCCCTGGTACTAAAGAAAAAAAAAAAAAAAAAGAAAGATGCAAATTCTAAAAGTTAAGTGATAGATTAGAAAAAATAATCAATTGAAATCAATATTATGGGAGACTGAATTTTAAGTGCTAATAAATGTGAATATTAAAACAAGATTTAAAGGTAATCACAAAATGTTCTTTACTTATCACATCTTTATTAGTGTTGTACTCATACATGGAAACATGATTGTTTTAAGAATGTTGCCTGAGTTTCTAGACCTTATCTTTAAGTGGGGCAGGGATGTCTTCCCTGGAGAAGGTGGCTGCCAGGACCGCAGAAGGCTCTGTGTGAACTTGCTGGGCAGGGCTGGCTCTGTGACTGTAACAACTCCTCCTTCCCCAGCAGTCTGGAGGGAAGTTATCTCCCACTACTGCGGTGCTTCTCCCCAGAACCAGCATCTCCTTGACCCCCGATCTCCAAATCACTCTGCTGGCTGCAGCTGCTGTGGGGTCCTCTCTGCTGGGGAAAGATGTGACAGTGCACAGGGTGATGAGAAGGAGAGGAGCTTTGCTGGGGAAGGCTGCCAGAAAACTCTAAGATTGTGTACAGGTTGGCTCCAATTTCTACCCCAGGTTTTAGGTGTCAGAAACGAGGTTTGAGTGTGGAGGGGTGTTTGAGGGGTCTCTGTGACTGTGACAGAAACCCTGAAAGAAAGCTCTGTACATTTGGGACCAGGACTGTCCTCCCGTCTTTGCCTACATAGTGTCCCCCACTGGGGAAGTTGGTGACCTGTCACAAGCCCGGGAGGGACTGTGCATGTGGGGAACCTGTGGCTGCAGTACCTGGACGCTGGAAGGAGGAAAGGACCTTTCCAGCCCACCCAGGCTCCAGGCAAGGCTCCTCCACACACAAACAGGGTGTCCCTGGCCTCAGGATAAAACTGAACTCCTGTCTCAGCCTAAAGACGCATCTCAATGGAATACCTGCTGCCTGTGGTCTCAGGCTGCAGCTTTTCTGCTCTCCTCGGGGGCCTTTGCTTCTGCTGCCCCAGCTCCTCCTCCAAGCCCCTCCCCACCCCAATACAGAGGTGCCCTGCACCCCTATGAGCTATGTGCTTCCAGAGGCAGACCTACCTGCAAACTTATTGACCCGTGCAGACCAGGTGAAACTAAATCCTGATGTATTTGGACCCTGCCTCTGCTGAAACCCAATCTGAAGAGAAAGACATATTTGGACCCCAGGGAAATGCTGCAATATGGGGGCCACCTACCACGGACTTGGAAGGGCAGAAAGGCAATTGGGGGAGTAGGGAAAAGGCCAACAGAGCCACTGACTCCACCAGTGAGTTTAAGAAACCGGGAGGTGGTCCACGGGATGGAAGTGCCTAGTGAGGGGAGAAACTCCACTGGAGGTACTGCCCTCTGCGGGGTCTCTGACGACAGGAGCTCTCCCCGCACAACCCCAGCCTGGGCTCTAGCTCCTGAAGAACGCAGCCCACCCCTTCAGCGAGGGAGGCAGCGGCCAGCAGTTTCTTCTTTCTTTGGCCGGTAGGCTGCGCCATCCCCACGTCCGGAGCAGAGAAGTGGCTCCATACACCGGCGGTGGTGGCAAACGTCGTTTCCCTGGAAACCGCAGTAACCGCTGGGAGTCGGCTCTGAAGCTTCGTTCACGCGCGTGGGCGCCACGACCCTCACACAAGCTGGCTCACACGCGGCCCTCCCCAAACTCACACCCCGCTTGCGCAGGCCGAATCGCCATGCCTGTTTTCTGGCTAGTCACCCTGCAGAGGCGCAGGACCCACTGGCTGCTATTCCAAAATGTGCATTCCCTGCTACAGAGAAAACAGCTCGTTCTCCTCGCAGCTAGGGATCTGAAGTGAACCCCATGCAGATGTCCAGGGAGCGCAGGAAGGCCTTCACATGTTTTCCCATTGGGCGGGTGGTTTCGGCGAGGCGTGGGCAAGGGCCTTTTGCTTGGCCTCAGACCACGTGGGTGCGGCTTCTCAATGCGCAGGCCTCCCGCCCACCGGGAGCCCTGGACCCTTTAGGACCAGGAAGCACGCACTGGGCTATGCCTCTGGCAGCCGGAACCTGCGGAGCCGGTGTCTGGCGCGCAGGCGCGTCCTTGAGCACTCCCAACAGCACCCCGGGTGTTCTGCCACCGCATCCAGTGGGGTCTCAGACGCTGCGCAGGCGGCTTGAGTCACCAGCACCAGGGACAGCGAAGCAGCTCAACTGGAGCTCCAGAGGGTTTGGGTCCTAGGAAGCTCGGGACCGGCCCACGGCGCCCTCCAGTTTTTCGCACCCGAGAGGCGATTTGCCGCCCCACCCACTTCACGCAGGTCCAATCAATTCACCTGAGCCCGCGACTGCGGAAATTTCCTGCCTGATCCGCAGACTGGACCCAAACCCAAACAGATTCACCCGTCGTTTTCCCCATGACTTTACCCCCGCTCCGCTCTGTGGCTGGTCCTACAGCCTACCCAGATCGCACACAGTGCAAACCGCACACAATATGCACGACACCCCCGCATTGCACATATAACACAGCACACTGCAAACCGCACACACAACATAGTACTGCACACTGCACACACTACACCCCTCACAACACACCTCACACAGCACACACGCAACCCGCAATACACCACAACACACAGCCTCACAACCGTAACACCCCCTCACACGTACTGAATACATGACACACAACGCCGCACACGCACTGCGCACTGCGCACTGCACACACGACACGACACACCACATAGACAACATTCCCAAATGCACACACCCCATACATACCCCTCACACACAAAGCACACCGCACACACTCCCCTTCATCGGCACATGCCAGCACTTCCCAGAGATCCAGACTCCGTCCTGCAATCCCCGAGCAGCCCCTCAGCACCTGGGCTCCGCTCACACCATTTCCCAGCGCCCTCAGCTAACTTCTTCTGGCCGAGGGTGGGCGTGGAGAGCGGTCGGGCGGGGTGGATAGGGAGGTGCGCTCTTAGGCACTGAAAGGTGGGAGGTGCTGGAGGTGGGGCCCCGGGGGTCTGGGAGAGAAAGGCCGTTGTGGGGTGGCGCTCCCAAAACGGCGGGCGCTGGAGTGGGCATCCGCAGGGGGAGGGCAGAAAAGCTAAGACTAGGCGGCAAGAGGCGCCTCTTCTTGGGCGGGGCAGAGGGGCGTCCTGGGGGCGGCCGGGGGCTGGAGCGAGTGGAGGGGGGCGGCGCCAGGGCGAGGCGCTCGGGGCCGCGGGCAGGTGGGGGGGCACGCGTCCGGGAGGAACGCCAAGGGCTGGGGAGGGGGCGCGCGCGCCCTGCGGTGCTCGGCGCCGCCTCGGTTCCCGGCGCGGGGTCGCGGCGGCGGCGGGAGGCGGAGGATGCGGGCTCCGGCGGCGGCGGCGCGGGCCAGGGAGGACGCGGGAGGATGAGGAGGAGGCCGGCGGTCCGGCCGCGCGGCGCCGGGAGGAGGCGCAGGCGGCGGGGGCGGCGGCGGGCGGCGGCGGGCGCGCGGGGTGCGGGCCGGCTCGGGCGCGGAGGATGAAGTGGAGCGTCCGCGGGGCCTGCGCCGCGCTTTCCTCCTGCCTGCTGCTCGCCTGCGCACTCAGCGCCGCCGCCGTCGGCCTTAAGTGCTTCTCGCTGGGCTCGGAGCTGCGCGGGGAGCCGTTCCGACTGGGGGCCGCAGCCGGCGCCTTCTACTCGGGGCTGCTGCTGGCTGCCGGCCTTTCACTGCTCGGCGCCGCCCTGCTCTGCTGCGGGCCCCGGGACGCGCCCCTCGCCGGGCCGGGACCAGCGCCAGGCCCGGGGATAGGGGTTCCCGCGGCTCCCGAGGGCGCTCCGGAGGCTGCACCCGGTGAGGCGGGGGCGGCGGCCGGGCCCCCGGGGCCGGTGAACAGCCAGAACCTGCTGCTGCTGGGCGTGCTTGTCTTCATGCTCGGGGTCCTGAGCGCCTTCGCGGGCGCAGTGATCGACGGCGACACGGTGTCCCTGGTGGAACGCAAGTACTCCCATTACTGCCTGCCCCCGCGCTCTCCGGCCGCAGCCCCCAGCCCCGCAGCCGCGGCCCCGGGTCCGGCCCCAGGGGCGCCGCGCTCCCGCAGCACCCTGGACAGCGCCACGTCCGCCAAGTGCCGCCAGCTGAAGGACTACCAGCGCGGCCTGGTGCTCTCTACCATCTTCAACTCGCTCGAGTGTCTGCTGGGCCTGCTCAGCCTTCTGCTGGTCAAGAACTACAAGTCGTCGCAGGCCCGGAGGGGTCGGCGCGGCCGGCGGAGGGCAGGTCGGGCCCTGGCGCGGCCCCGTGGCATCCCTGGGCTCCGTGCGCAGCCGCCATCCTCCCGCGCGCGGCGGGGACGACGGGGTCGGCGGGGGCGAAGGCTGCAGCAGCGGCCGAGTGAGGCCTCCATCCTGTCCCCTGAGGAGTCCGACTTTGCCGCCCCTGGGGACTGCGCGGGCTTCGCGGCTCACCACGCAGTGTCCTACATTAACGTGGGCGTCTTCCACGCATTCGACGAGGCGGGCGTGGAGGTGTGCTGCGGCGGACACCCATCGGTGGAGCTGCCCGGGTACGCGCCCTCGGATCCCGACCTCAACGCCTCCTACCCGTACTGTTGCCGACCGCCCTTCGAGGCGGCGCGCCCCTGGGAGCCGAGGCGGGCCTGCTGAACCCCAGGCTGGGTCCCAGCGCTCGCGCCTCCCGCAAGAGCCCAGGGGAGGGTCCCAAGCCAGGCCTCCAGGGCGCAACAGCTCCGTGACCACTGGACGGTCCTCTGATGTTATTGTTTCTGTGTCCAGGACGTTTCTCTTCTCTGTGTCGTTCGTATCCGGATTCCATTTAAAGTTTACAATAAATGTTTTGGGTCGGCTCGCCGACTGCACTTCTCTTTGGCATCGGTTCCCTGGGCGGCGCTGAGGTCCCAGGTCGAGGGGCAAGAACAGAGCGCGCAGCTAGCGTGATTTCCTGCGAGGACCTAGGCTGAGCGACAGACAAAAGCCAAGGTCCTGTAGGAACTCAGGGAGGAGTGCCATCCGGCAGCAACACTGCGACCCCACGTGCCTGCTTCAGCCGACACTTTCTTACTGTAAAGCTCTCCATAAACAGTGACTATGTTTGGTATGTTTATTGCAATTTGAAGTTGGTGAGTTCCTTTATTAAATTAATTGCTATGTTATTGGAGAATGTTCATCAACTTGGAATTAGAGGGTGTCTACACGTAAATGAGCATGGGGAGGAAGGGCAGAATTGGGTCGGATTCGTTAAGTTTGAACCTGTGTTCTGCCAGCTGGTCCTCTCTGTCAGCCCTGTCTCTGAGCTAACTCGCTGAGTGTGCAGACACTGACACCAGACCCTTTCATTTCTGTTTTTGGAAACTGGCTGTGTGGTTTCTACTGCAAAGCAGTAGAATTTATTTTTGGTTAATACATATGAACAATCTAATCCTATTTTGGAGAATCAGTCATAATTTTTCTGCAAAGATAATTTTCCTGTAAACTCATTACTCTGGTAATTTTGAATATTATAGCATTTCATCTAAAATATACCCCTTAAATAGCCTTAATGAATGTGAAGGTCATACTTTTAAACAACTAGGGTGTGTGTGTGTGTGTGTGTGTGTGTGTGCATGTTTGCACACTGTGGAATGAGCTTCATATGATGGCGGAATGTGTGTCCATCCTTCTGGGGGGCTGGTTCCTAGTCTTGGAAAAAGGTTATCCGACTTCCTTGAGCCTGGAATCCTAGGGCCGAGCCAGGGAGTTGACTGATCAGCTGGGAGCAGAGTCCCACCCTGATCCCCAAAGGTGTGTGTCCTCTGCAGATGGGAGTGGAGGACAGTGTACTTTGCTGTGTGGGCACCAGCACAAAGCACGTGGGGTGAGGGGAGTCAGGGAGATTGTGTAATATCTTCATGGTTCAGTAGTCCACTCGGTGAAAAAAGTTGAAATTTAAGGATGGTGTGCAGTTACTTGGTGCAGGCTCTGGGGTTGAACCTCTCCTCAGTCCTCAGGTGCCCTGCCCAGAGCTCCCCTGAACTCCTGGTGACCCAGCCCCCTGTCCCATCTGGGAGCTTGCTGGGCTGCCCTGACCTGTTCCCACTCAGTGGGCTTATTATGGAGTGCAAGCCTGTCCCACTAATGCTCAGACAGTTCCTGTGAGACGTGGGGTTCTTCCCAAGAGGCAACAAGTGCAGCGCTCACCTTGCTGTATTGAAGCTGCCCCAGGGGTAGAAATGACTTATGGCCATCTTACTGGGGTCCCACCTACAGGGCACTGCCCATATCAGGCCTTTGCTGTCTTGGGGGCAGTGGGAGCAAGAGGGTTCAGTCTGACTTGCTGGTCCTACTGCTGGTCTATTTGGTCCCTCCTGCCCCAGGATAAGCAGCCTTCTGACCATTGGCCTAAGCAGAAATGTCACAAGTGCAGCACAAAGTGACCTAAACCACCTCATATCTACTTAATTCAAATCCACAGGGCAGGTATTTTCCTCTGGGAACAGAGGCTTCCTGAGGCAGCCAGGCCCCTCCCCCTGCTGGGTGAGCACTGGGTGTTCCTGGGCAAACCAGTGGATGTGAAATCAGCCCCCACCCTTTGTTTTCTGAGCTGTTTCGTTTTACACACTTTATACAGCTCAAAATGACAAATGCCTTATGGATCTTTTAAGTTTGCTATCAGTTCGGTCTCTAAGGCTTCAGGCTTTCCTTGGGGTAAAACAGAAGGCCAAGGGTGGGGAAGGCAGGGCCTGCAGCCAGGGGCTGACACAGAAGGGAATCAGCTGTGTCCTGGGGTAGCAGGGGAACCTGGGGTGCAGGAGGGAGGGGATTTCCCCAGCCTCAGGTGAGCTAGCCTCTTCCCAACCACCAGCACACCAGGTGGCGGTTTAAGACTGAGCTTCCCAATTCCAGATGCAGTAAGTTTCACTTTTACAGAGTTGGATAGGAGATGTGAAGTATCGAGGTTTCATTTTTAAGGTTAACTAGAGAAAACAGAATCCCACTCTCTGTAAACTCAGATTGTCACAAAGATGAGCTCTCAGGGAAGGAGTGGGGGGTATGGAAGCCACCTTGTCTCCTGATTAGATCAACTTCCTGTTGCCCCTCCACACTCGACTCCTGGCCGTAGGTTTTGCACATGTTCATTCTGCTTTTCTGGAATGTTCAGTTAGCCACTCAGAACTGAATTGTGCTACCTAGAAAATAAGGGCAGCTTTTGACCTTTCTTCTATTGAGTCTTATTCTGCTTCCTGCCAGGAGTTTATTAGGATGATGAGATGCCAAAATTAAACAAACACATTCTAGCATATTTTAGGAGGCTGAAGGTGGAGTTTGTAAGTTATTATTTTATGGTAAAGATGTGATTTGGTTCAGCAGGAGTTCACTGTGAATATGGCTGGGGTTTAGTTTTAAAGGGATTCTTCATGATGCTGTGTACGAAGTTGGGCAGTGAAGTCGCCTGACAAGTTGTGTTTTTCTTAGGCTCAACAAACCTTCAGATATCTGGGTTTTCATGACCTTCCATGGTCAGAGGAGGCAGGCAGGTGGGTTTTTCTTCCCTGGGTGCCTTTAACCTGAGCCACAAAACTGGCCTTTTGACTGAAAATTCAATTAAACAATCATTTAATTTGAAAAATTAGTCAGATGGTTGATTGTTGTGAATTTCAAAGACTTACGACTGAGGCTGGACCCCTGGCCAGGATTTCGATGCAGTGCAGGAGCAACTGCGAGCAAACACGCACACACATGCACGCGTGTGCCTACCACCACCAGCACATGCGCTCGCGCACATCCTCGTGCGCAGCACAGATGCACACAAAGACACATGCACATAGACACACAGGCACAAAGAATGAGCACATGTGTGTGCACACACATGGTCTTCTGGGCAGTGTTTGAGAGCCAGGCCAGCAGCTCTGCCAGGGGAACCCAAATGGAACCCACTCAGGGCATGTAAGCTGACCTTGCTGCTCTCTTGCTGTGGCATCACATGCAGGATGAGCCTAAGGGGAGCCACTCCAGGGCCCCAGCAGTTGTTGAGCTACTGGCCATATCTGGAGGGGCAGGCAGGTGGAGCTGGGCAGGGAGGGTGGGAGGTGGGGGCAGGCAGGTGGAAAACTCCCATCTGTGTCAGTACAGCTCAGTGATTCATGGCAGCGGGTATGTTGGGGTCCAGGTAAGAAGAAGGCTGCCAGGCTGCATCCCAGACTCTGTGCAGGTGTGCCACTGGGACATTGCTAGGACTCTGGTGCTGACCCACTCTGCACCTACTTCCATCCTCCAAGGGCCTGGCACCTATGCAAGTGGGCAAAGGTGACGGTCCTGCAGTGCCCTCCAGGTCATGATCACCCCAATGTATGTTTTCTCACTGAGATAGGAAAGTAGGGAATGGTAGAGACCTGAGAAAGTGAGCTCTGCAGCTGAACAGGCACCAGCCACGTGTAGACCTGTGTCCCTTCCTCTTGTCTGAGATAGACACAGCAACCTGATGTGAGCAGGTTTAATTTCCTGTTGACTCAATGTCTTGGCCTAATTTGCTGTCTTGTAGTACTGTAACCAACAGGAAAAAAAAAAAAAAACACCAACAAAATGGAAAACAAGATTTAAATTAGCAAAATAGAGCACACCAATCTTGTGCCTCTGCTCGAACCCTCCTGAGCAGTCCTTGGGTGACAGGAGGAGCCTGGTGGTCCTGCAGCAGACTTGCTCCTGACAGCGGTCTGTGAGCCTCTGCATTTTGAGGCACTGGAGGAGCCCTCTTACATGCAGCTTCCCTGGAGAGGCCCTGATTGATGCACATTTCGCCTTTTTGTCAGCCTTTGGTCCTCAATGGAACGTCACTGTCAGACCAATAAAATGTTTTGAAAACATAGTATACTCCACAAGATTCGTGCTTTTCTGGCTACTGTCCTGTTTGTGACTGACTGTGTGGCAGAAAGTGGCCAACTGCCCAGCGTGCTGAAGGCGGGATGTGGAAGGGGAGCAGGCTTCTTTGGGCCCTTTCTGGTTCTCCCTCAGTGGTGCTGGCCACCTGGTTGCCCTGCCCTGGACCACTGGCAGCTGTCCTCTCACCCTCCAGGCCTTGCAGCACCTGCTGACTGCCATGGAGCAGGCTTTGCCTTTCCCTTTGATGTGATGCTCATTCCCTGCTGATCTCACTTATTGTCACTTGCCAGGCCACTTGATGCAACATTACCTGAAACATATCAAGTCATGTGACCTTACTCAGAAGCATTCAAGAAGGAGAGGAACCAACCTTCCAGCTTTTATGCAAATGATCTAGGAATGGGGAGGAGCCAACAAAGGCTACCCTGTGGTAGGAAGAGGTGGGAGGCAGGAGTTGGAATGCAGGTGCTGGGATGCAGGAGGTGGGAGGCAGGAGGAAGGAAGCAGGAGGTGGGAGGCAGAGGGTGGGATGCAGGAGGTGGAAGCAGGAGGTGGAAGCAGGAGGTAGGAAGCAGGAGGTGGGATGTAAGAGGTGGGAGGCAGGAGGTGGAGGCAGGATGTGAGATGCAGGAGGTGGGATGCAGGAAGTGGAGGCAGGAGGTAGGAAGTAGGAGGTGGGAGGCAGGTGGTGGGATACAGGTGGTGGGAGGCAGAGGGTGGGATGCAGGAGGTGGAGGCAGGATGTAGGAAGCAGGAGGTAGGAGGCAGGAGGTAGGATGCAAGTGGTGGGATGCAGGAAATAGGAAGTAGGAGGTGGGATGCAGGTTGTGGGAGGCAGGTGCTGGGAGGTGGGATGCAGGTTGTGGGAGGCAGGTGCTGGGAGGTGGGATACAGGAGTTAGGATGCAGGTGCTGGATGCAGGTGTTGGATGCTGGATTTGGGTACAGAAGGTGGGATCCACAGGGTAGAGTGAACATTGTAGTGTGTACTGTACCCATGTTTTTTTTCCCTCCAATTTCAGTTATCCATGGTCAACTTCAGTCTGAAAGTATTAAATGGAAAATTCCAGAGTGATGCAGCCCATAAGTTTCAAATTATGCTTCTTTCTGAGTAGCATGATGAAACCTTGCACCATCCCACTCTTTCCTGCCTGGGACATGAATCATTCCTTTGTCCAGCATATCCCCATGTCCACCCTACCCATCCATTCATCACTCAGTAGCCGTCTCAGTTTTCAGATGAACTGTCTGCATCGCAGTGCTTG